TAAATTATCTAAGAATATAATAATAACAACAATATCAGTATGTAATAAGTAATGATATTGTGTAAATTAAATATAAAGAATACAATCTCTGCATATTTATTCACTAACTCCAAGTTATCATCTGATTATATATGAAAAATAAACTTAATAATACAGTGCAGATCATTAAATTTTGTGGATATTTTCTATAATGAAAATCATTTATAGGGAGGTCTCTACCCTTAAGTAAAGACAAAAAAAAACTGATAATATGTTCTTTGGGATTTGTTTTGTTTGTGGACGTAAAAAAAAATCATGTGGTGGAACAAAAACATAGTACAACTTTTCATGCAAAGGTACTCAATTAGCTATTTTTGTGTCAATTTTCCCTCGTTTTTTACCATGTATGACTCACTCATTTATTTGCGGATCATCAATTAACTGTTTATAGAAGGTCTCATGGATGTGTGTTCCCATAATCCATCAAAAACCCCATCAAAATCCATTTAAACAAATATTTAATTATTTTAATTTTTTATTTGAATAGAATTTCATGGATTTTTTGATGGATTATGGGAACACACATCCATGAGACCTTCTATGAACAGTTAAATTTTTTCATATTATGTGAGTTTTTGAGAAAAGAAAAGGAGAAAAAGGCGGAATTTCAGCCAATCAAATTTTTACGTAGTGCGAATTTACTATTTAGGATGTTGATCATTGCAATATTTGGTAATTCCAAATTTGGAAAAAATCTTGACTGTAATATATGTCAACGCCCTTATTATAAAATTCTAATTTTTTTTATATAAATCGATAGCTATTAAGGTCAACTTGAAGACTGTTCATTTAGTTTTCCTTAATTTAACAAAAACATATAGTAGAGGACAAGAATTCGTAACTTTACTTATAGAATTCATAACATATGTTGAACTTCACATTACCTTTTTAGTAAAACTTTATTAACAAATGTTATTAAAAGCACATTGTTCAATAGTTTTAATTAGTGTTTGAATCCGAATCTCAAATGAGACTCATTAAGGGGGTTGCACACTATCAAAGTAGCTTAAATCATGTGTTCACCACATGATCTTGATAATGTGTAACCCAATCCCAGAGAGTATATATACAAATTTTCGTTTAAGTTTCGCAATTTTACAAGTTTTATTTGTTCAAACCTTAAAATTGTGGTCGTGTGATTTTTTTGCCATATGATGTACTGTGTAACCGAACTCCACCCTTAACGTTGATTGGCTAAATTCAATATGTAACACGAATCCCGCACTCAATTTCCAACACCAACATTACACTATCACAAACATTCTTTCTATTATAATAATATATCAAGTAATATGAATACCCAACTGTGTCATTATTAACTAAAGAATATTTATGCATTGCAGAAACTTTACTCCAAATGAACTTCTACAGTCAAACCCTGTCACAGCGGACTATAGTTATAACGGATTTTTAAAATTTTTGCTTCGCATATAAAAATCCGTTGTGGCGAGATCAGTAATCCTGCCACAACAAGATTTTAAATGAAATTTTCTTATGTGTCCCATTCATCCGCTGTGACAAGGTTTGAGTGTATTTGGTGAAGCTGGAAACATAATGACAGCTAAACGAACAAAATTGAATCCATTGTTATTTGAAAAAATTGTATTTTTAAAAAAATATGCAATATATTGAAATATTTTTTCCTGACGAATAAATAATTGTTATATTTTTTTGTAATAAATTTATTGTTATATTTTTTAAATAAATTTAAAATCAATGAATATTCAACGGATATTCAGTGAATGACTGATTATTCGGGTGTTAAATTTATCGACTGACCGATTATCTATGTGTTGAGCTTTATTGATTGACCAAGTACTCAAACGCTCAGATAATCAACGGATACAACCATTATTCTACTGATTTAGTTGAGTTGTATTCTTTTGTTAAACCAAAAGATTGTAGATAGTTTACGTATTTATCTGAAGTATAAGAAAATCCTCATCAATTACCTCACCGTTAAATAATAACATTCATGAATTCAAAAATGCAAAATTTTTTTTTAATCCACCTTCTTTTTGTTCAAAATAAATATGGAAAACTTTACCAAGTGCCTTTTCCGAAAATCTTTCTCTACTATATACATATTTAAAGACTGGAGATATGGAGCGAGCAGAAATAATACTAAATAGATTACATAATTCTGTACCAAAGGATATAAAGCATTACTCGGACATAAATGCAAAATTGTATACCTTATTATGTGTAAAACGTACTGAATCCAATCATTATTTATCATTGCTCATTGAAATATGTTTATACTTGTACCTTTGATATTTTGGTTTATATATTTTTTATTGCCTGCTCATCACATTAGATATGTTAGGAACCTACATTATTTCGAAAAAAATTTATTTAAATATGATAGATAGATGAACAACTCTACACCTTCAGATCCAATTATTAATTGACTTCACATAATTATATGAAGAAATTATATCTATGCAAACAAATTGATAGTTATTATAATATCTAATACCTTTAAATTGTATTTTCTATTTTTTGTAATAAAAGTCTTTTTATTTAATTTTCATTTTTGGAATATTCGCTCAATTCTTTATATAGTACATTTCCTAATGTAATGAATGCCATCCAAAACTTATTGACCAACACTCTCATAAAATAATAATAACCGTATGAAAGATTAGTGTATTTTACACTTATTTAACCACTTATCAAGCAACATGGGAGACATAAAGAATTCTTCTGAACATAAGAAAATATTCCTTGAAGCTTTAATGGTAGAGTTTTATTTTATTTTTAGTAGTGAGGTTCAAGTTTATTATGAACAAATGAATAATAAATACAATCATCATTATTAACACAATTATTATCATCGTCGTCTCATATTTATCATCTCATTCAAATACTAAATGATTTTATTAAGTCCTTCCGTCTCCAAGTATAGAAAATAACAATTGGGTTTAGCGTAACGTCGTTGAATTGGTTTAAAGTTTATAATTTATTTATTTATTTCCAAAATTGGTATCACAATATTCTTGTGTAACTATCGTTACCAATCATTCTATTAATTTGTTTCCAAACGTTTTTTTTTTTACATATTTCATGTCAAAAATTATACAAATAATATACAACATGCTAAAAATAATAATATTAATTAATGTAAATATTTTTATTTTTATTTATAAAAATTGTTTTCCTTTCTTTCTCTTATTATTATTTATATTATATTAATTATATTGATTGATAAAGGAAAAAAATTAAAAAATTAAACATTCATTTTTTTTCGATTTCTCTTACTTCACCTTTTCATCCTTGTTTTCGCACTCCTATTTCCCCTCCTCTCTTGTCTCCTAAAAATACTAATCAACTTCCACTTTATACGCACACACGCACGCACGCACGCACGCACGCACGTGCACATTAATTAGATTGATTAAAGGAAAATTATATTAAAAGGGAAGGAATTTTTTATTAATGATATAGATCCTAAAAATCGCAATTTTTTCCTTGATTCCTTCCACTCCTAATACACACAAAATTTTTGTGAAAATAAAAAAAAAAACGATGATTCTTTTAATAATATTATTATTTGTAACGACTCTGGAAATCCCACGAGCAATTAGTGAAAAAATTTCAATTCGTATGCTTATATACTAAAATTTTCATTTATTCGTCCAGTTTTCCACAATAATAACAATAATCATAATAATTTAAATATTAGATCAAAACAATACGAGAAGGTCGCCACAAAAGCCTCCAACACCTCCAGCACCTCCAGCACCTCCAGCACCGCCAGTTGCACCAGTTGCACCGGTTGCACCGGTCGCTCCGATTGCTCCCAAAGGACCTAACGATCCAGGAGTTCCGGGAAAGCCGGGAATTCCGGGAAAACGTAAAAAATCTCGTTCTTTATTTATCTATATGCCAACATATTGAAGACCTGATTTCGTGAATTAATTTAAAATTTTTCTTATACAGCTGGTAAGACAGGAGGTACAAACCCGGATCCACCTCCAAAAGATAATACCGAACAGCCAGAACCATCTTCAACAGAGGATGATCCAGCAAATCAAACGCAACAACCACAACCGCCACCATCGTCGCCACCACCACAAGATAATACTACACTAAAACAACAACAGTCATCATCATCATTACCAATATTAACTTCAATTTTATCGCAAACAAATAGCATTGGTAAGTGGTAGTTTACATCATATTATTAATGATTTAATGTTAATTTTAATAACAATATTCTTTTATTATTATGAATAGATTCAACTGAACCAACTTTACCATTGGTAAATAATAATAATAATAATAATAACAATAATAATAGTTCATCAAATAATAATAACAATACATCAACAATTGTTGCAATTTCATTAAGTTCTTTAATATTAATATTAATAATTACGGGTTTATTAATATTTATTAAAAAACGTAAAGCAAATAATATTAGAAATGGAAATAATAGAGATACATCAAATAGTAATACACTATATAGTGAAGAAGGAGATGATGATAAAGTGGATTATGATGGTGGTGGTGGTGATGATGATGATGATTCATTTGGTAAAAAACTTACTCAAAATGGAACAGAATTTCTAAATCGACAACAGCAGCAGAAACAACAATTAGAAGACGAAGAAGTGTCTAATGGAATAATGGTTACTAAAATACATTCCGTAAGTATACATCATGAAGATTTTACATTAGATGAATTTGACGATAATGGAATCGCTGCTAGCTTTAAAAGTGCTGGAACTGGAACAAACGAATCCGACGATACTAATAATGAAAATGGAGGATATCTTGATGGTGAAGCTAAAAGTAGAATAATGAGGGAACGATTAACCACAAGTATAACAAGTAGTGTATCCACTCTGAGTAATAATAACGATAAAACTAATAGAAATAGCTTTAATAGCACGATAAGTAATTTAACGATTAAAGAAGAATTAAGAAAAGCAAACGTTAAATTTTATATATGAAGTGGAAAAAAAAGCGAGCAATTAAAATGTTTATTTATTTATTATTCATTCATTATTCGATGTGTTGTCTCTCAAATATATATATAAAATAAAATAAACAATAATCTAATTACCACAAAAAAACAAATGTTTTTAACTAATAATAACTAATAATATACTTTGGAAAGTTTTAACACACCTTTAAAAGTTCCAAATTCACATATATTGACTGTACTAAGGATACTTGTCTATAATCATTGTCAAAAGTTGTGGCCAGTATCCTTATTGACATTTCATGTTGTTAATTCGAGATATGCAATTATATATAGAGGTACTTATAGAATTAGCATGTCAACTAACTTTCTTTCCTTGTTACGGAAATGTATTAAACTATCAAATGACTTTGAGACACATTCAACCATTTTTAACAACGGGAATTGAAACAAATCCAGGTTTTTTAATAATATTATAATCAAGTAACTTTGACAGAAATTCAAATGTCTTTATGTATGTTAAATAACAACTAAATTGTAAAGACAATTATTCTATCATTGTAATAATGTTGGAGATTAGACATTAAATCTCATTTGAAAGTGCTCATACTTTCATTTTTTTTTTTTTTTTTTCATTGACTAATAAATTTTGTAAAATTGTATAGTTCTAAACAGCAAATCAAATAATGATAATAATAAGGATTACGTTAAAGTAAAAATACTAAAAAGAACTTTTTTTTTTATTATTAAGAGAAAATTTCGTTTAAAATCCGTTATTATTATTATTATTATTATTATTATTATTATTATTATTATTATCATTACTAATTAATATGTTTTTATATGTGAAGCAAAAATTTTATAACGCGAAATCGGCTGTGACAAGGTTTGACTTGAGCTAAGCAAAAAATTGTTTTTCTCAGCCCCAAAATTTTTTAGTAGTAGTAGTAGTAGTAGTAAGTAGTATTTCTTTCGATTTTTATCTTTTTTGTTTTTAAAAAAAAAAATGTCCTCAGAAAAAATTCGTAAAAGACCAGTAGTCAACAAAGAAATAAAACATAAAGATGAATTTATAAAAATTTTTGATGATAAAAAAATAAAAAGTAAAAAAAACAAGGCAAATAAATAAATTCTTTTATAATTATTATATTTTTTTTTATTCTATAAATAAACAAATTTTTAAAAATAAAATTTTTTAATAAGGAACTAATTGATATAAAAAAGTACTTTAAAAATCCAAAAGCTTTATCATTAATCATTCCATCAATACTCACATTATTGTCATTTATTACAAGATTTTATAAAATTTATCATCCAAATAGTGTTGTGTAAGTAAAAAAAAAAAAAAAAAAAATAATAATAATAATAATAATAATAATAATAATAATAATAATAATAATAATAATAATAATAATAATAATAATAATAAATAGATCAAAAATTAATTAATACATCTGATGTTTAATTATTTAGATTTGATGAGGTTCATTTTGGTAAATTCGCAAGTTATTATCTTCGTAGAACTTATTATTTTGATGTTCACCCACCTCTTGGAAAATTAATGATCGCTGGAATGGCTTATCTCTTGAATTATGATGGTCATTTTTTATTTGATCATATTGGTGATGATTATTTAGAAAATAATGTGCCTTATATTGGACTAAGAGCGCTGACTGCTACATTTGGAGCTTTTTATGTTCCTTTAGTTTATTTCATAATGATGGAATCTGGTTATAATATATTTACTGCAATACTAGCAGCTGTGCTAATTCTTTTTGGTAAGCATAGCTAAATATATGTGTGTGTGGTGCATGTGTGCAAACGCGATGTGGGTATGTTAATTAATAATTCTTCTCATTCAGATAATCTATTGATTTGTCAAACACGCTTGATTCTTCTTGATTCGATGTTGTCATTTTTCATGTTGTGTACATTTTATTCCTATATTAAATTTTATAAATACCGATACAGGTAAATTCTGATGAAACAATAATAATGATATTTATATTATTAGATATTCACGATGTCGTAAGTTTTTTGTCTAAAATAAATTAATATTCTTTTATTTAGAGAATTTTGTAATGAATGGTGGTTTTGGTTAATTACAACTGGTATTTCTCTGGGATCAATGTCAAGGTAAACTGTTTTTTATTTAAAAAGTTAATTCTTACAATAAAAACATCAATGATTTTTATTTAATTTGGTTTTTTTTTAATATTCATATATACAAATGCGCAAACATATATCAGTGTAAAGATGGTTGGTTTATTTACATTCATTACAATTGGTATTATGGTAATAATTGATTTATGGAGATTATGGGATATCAAAACTGGTTTATCATTAGTAAGAATCTATTTATTTATTTATTATTTGAAAAAATAATATATTTTAACAATATATTTCTTCTTTTGCCTAAAATGATAATAATCAAAAGAAACGATTTAATAAACATTTTCTGGGTCGTATATTTGGATTAATAATTGTTCCTATTTGCGTTTATTTATTTTGGTTTTATATTCATTTTGCAATACTAAATACCACCGGTCCTGGTGATAAATACATGAGCCCAGAATTTCAACAAACGCTACATGGCAACATATTATTAAAGGAAAGCCAGCCAATATATTACAATGATACTATTGTTTTAAAGCATAAAGATACAAAAGTTTTTCTACACTCGCATATTCATCATTATCCAAGAAAATATGATGATGGACGTGTGAGTAGTGCAGGTCAACAAGTAACAGCATATCGCTATCAAGATAAAAATAATCATTGGAGGATCTTACAACCACCACTGTCATTGTTACACCATTTCTCATTGTCATCATTCAATAATAAAAATTCTTCATCACCACTATCATCAAATAATAGTTTGATTAAAAATAAAGATTTTATTATGTTAGAGCATGTGAATACCGATACACTGTTATTGACTCATGATGTGGCAAGTCCATTATTGCGCACAAATCAAGAATTCACCACCATAGATATCGCGACCACAGACAATTATGATAGATTGGATGAAACCATATTTCAAGTTTTTATTGAGAATGGCGACGAAAATACCTTTTGGAAAACTAAAGCAAGTTATATTAAATTGGTGCATTGGAGAACTAAAGTAGCACTTTGGACTCATGATTCTAGATTACCAGAATGGGCATTTAATCAACAAGAAGTTAATGGAAATAGAATTATTACCGATGATTCAAACATCTGGGTGGCTGATCAATTAATTGGTAAAAATGGTAACTATTATTTTTATATATATGTGTGTGTGTGTATATGTGTTCTGCTATTTAACTATCTAATTATTAATAAATTTCTATGCTTATTATTTTATTAGTAACAGGACTATCAGAAACAAAAGAACCAATAGACAATGTCCCATTTCTAAAAAAATTTATTGAATTACAATCATTAATGATTAAACGCAATTCCAGAAACACAAAACCCCATTCATATCAAAGCTCACCAAGCAGTTGGTTATTCTTATCCAAAGGTATATTATTTTGGAAAAATATTGAGGAAAAACAACAAATTTACTTATTGGGCAATCCAATCAGTTGGGCTTTATCTGTTATTTCCATTTTTTTCCTGATATCATTAATTGGTATTGAAACAATCGTTAGGAAACGTGGATCCAGACTTATTATTAATAATTGTGAGTTTTTTTTTATATATAATTATTTTCACCAAAAAAAAATTTATTGACATCATTATTATTTAATTTTGAATTAAATAGATGTTTGGCATAGATTAGTTAATTCTGGTGGATTTTTCTTGATAGCTTATTTATGCCATTATATTCCTTTTTTCTTAATGGGTAGAACATTATTCTTGCATCATTATACGCCTGCATTAGTACTTGGCTATATTATCACAGCAATAATGTTTAATTTTATCTTTGTAAATTCTGTAAATTATCCTATTTCACTTGTAAATAATAATCATAATCACAACATCCAATATCACAATAATCAATCTTCTTTGTTTTTCTCTCCTGCATCTTCCTCTTCAGAACAGCCATCTTCATTATTATTAATAAATGATGAAAATGATCATAATAGCGAAAATGATGTTAAACAAATTAAAAAATATTTCAAAACAACATCAACAATATTAACAAGATCATCAACAACTACTAAATTTTCGATTATTATTTGGTCAATTATTATAATTTCAATCATTTCAACCTTTGTCTATTTTTCACCTTTTACTTATGGAACACCTGGATTAGATTCTTGGCAAGTTTATAGAAGAAAATGGCTAGTAGGTTGGAATTTTCATTTTCAACCAAAAAGTAGTGAATTAAAAGCAAATCAAATATAATATTTATTTATTTTGTATTAAATTTTTTCTTATTTATTTGTCTTCCTTTGCTGTATTATTTTTTATTCCTGCATTCTTATTTGTATTATAAAGATTGATCCTTTGTGTTTCAAGATTTGTTATTATAACTAAATTTGTATCTTTAGAATTCTGTTATTCAAAACTCATTTCTTTACATCATAGATAAAAATCCTATCATTGGCTGTTATGGTATTACAAAAATCAAGTGAGATTGACCAATGAAAATTGAAATTAAAAATATCAATTTTAACATTTACTCGAGCAAAATGTATAATAGTTCAATTTTATTTATTATTCAATTTTCTCTCTTCTTATTTTAAACTGGGGACTGGTAAAAAGAATTCTCATGTAAAAACCATTTTCTGCAAAAAAAAATTAAATAATCTTTTGTCTATTAATCGTTAATCAGTAAAAAAACTAAAATAGTTAAAACTTTGGTTATTCTATAACTCAATGGAATATAATGTAATAATATGCTGAATTGGCAAGTGTTTATTTCACTTGAAATTTTTGGATTCTAAAAAATAAAAATAAACTCATCAAATTCATCATAACATCAACTATTTTTTTTTACTTCCAGAATTAGCTGCTTTTAGAATTCTAAGGGTTTGTTTTTACTGAAATCTAATTATATATTTGATATATTCAATAATTATACAACATAGAGTTTATATAATAATATTTGTAGTACCTGTAAGTATTCTATTTAATTGTTGATTTATTTCTTCATAAATTGGTACTGTATCAACTTGATTTGATTCTTCTTCTTGTAATAGTTCATCTATAGGTGGCTCAAACTCATTTTGAATTTCATCCATTTCCAATCATTTATTATATGACTCAGATAATTCATCAATTGAATCTGAAAGGTAATTATGACAATGAATGCATACAAACTTTAATTGTTTCCAGCAGTCATCATGATAAGCATGACTACATAATTTAACATGTCCATTAATTAAATAAGGATTTTCACATTTGATTGCATCACAGAAACAATCAAGATGTGGATGTTGATTTGAATGGTGTCCTAATGGTAATGCTCCTTTGGCAAATCCTTTTGAAATTCCTGGAAAATACCAGTAAGACTTTTTGATTCTTTTACCTTCCAATTTTTTTTCAAACTTTCCAATGTTTTTTGAAAGATTGTCAAAAAATCTTAACAAAAAAATTGCACCACTTTTTATCATCAAATCAATATTCTGTTTTGAATATGGATATGATTTTTTTATTCTGAAATTTGGGTAAAGTTATCATCATGACATTGATAATCAAAAAAGATCCCAACCATTCTGGAATTAATACCTTTGCATTTGTGTGTCTTCTAACTAGACTGGAAATTTTCCACTGGGTATTCATCAAATGAATTAAGGTAATTCTTTAATATTTGAATGATTGGATGGTTGATTTCAATTCAATATTGAATATCTGATAAGTATGCAAGCATGATTTTATTGTAATTTTTTCATTGAAAACAGCACATCATTGTCCATAGCCTGAATATTGTTTCAACATATTCATCAAAAGGGCCTCCATGAAAAAGTGTCACATAAAGGTCTAAAGTTGATGGTATCAATGAATCCAACAAATCAAAAAGGGTACAATATGCAAGATCTTTACTTTTATCAAAGTGTTTAACAATATGTTTTCTGACTATCTTCTAAGGATACCGGCTGCAACTTTTGATGATGGTTGCTACCATCTTTGCGTCATATAAAACGATTGCAACTGCTGGTTGCAACAACCTTTACAACCATTTTGTTTCCTTTTTTGGATTGCGACATGGAACACTACTATCTTCCATGATGCATGAGCCAAATATAGCAAAATATCCATCTTCCAAGGTTGAGACTTTGCTGGTAAAAATTTTTTTTTTTGAAAAATTGTTTTATAAAACTCATTAAAGAAGTCCCAAAACATCAAAAAGCAACTCTCACAAGTATTAAGAGACACATGTAAAGGTTCCAAAAAAGGCACAAGGCAAGTGACCATGTCTGGGATTGGGGATAATTCTTTTAGGTTTAATTTCTGCACAATTAAATGTCTAATATATAATTGACCTGGAAAATCTGCAGGAACTGCTATGAGAGAATGCTTAAGATAATTATTAATTTCTGAAAAGCTAAAAAAAATAGAAGATTATTAATTTATAAATAAAATAATTTTAATCATTATTTAAAATCAATAGCTCAACCTGAAAAAGATCTTAAGGCATTTTAGATAATCAGTAGTGTTCTTTAAATTTTGTGGTAAGAAATCAATTAGTTTAGTGAATTTAAAGGAACATTTTGAGTGTGATTCTATTAAATCAGCATCATATGAGTGAACTACCAATGAATCAATAAGGTCATCTTCATTTAAGTTTATCATATCAGATACAAATTTCCATTCCATTTTATTTTTATTGTAACTTTCACATACAATACTTTCAAATTTCATTATTAATAGGTTCTTTAACAAGCCTGCTTCAACTCCTTTTGGGTTGTGTATGTTAGATGAACCAATTGGAATAGTTGGAGCATTGATCTTATTAATAAGTAATGTGGCCATGTGTGAGATTTGAGAAATTGATGTGGTACTTGGGATTCTTGATTGATGCAGATTATGGAAATCATCAAGATTAAATACCAAAAGGTTTTGGCACTAGTATTCACAATTGAAAAAAAATCAGTTAAAATTTTATAAACAATATATTATTAATTTTTTATATACATTTTGTTTAATATAGTTTTCCACTGATGAATTATGATTTTTTATTATATTGTTCATTCTATTAAACACTGTTTGGTAGGTGGAACTTAACCCCATCCCAGCAAGTGAATCAATTCCAATTTCTGATGTACCACATCCTGACATAAAGAGTCCTATAGATGATTTAATACTACTGACTTGTTTATTATGAATTGCAGCTAGCTGATAGCATATGAACATAACCTTGGTTTTTATTTTCTTTTTTGTGGCTTCATTTTTTGAAGCAGGATTAATTGATTGATATAAAACATCAAAAAAACCTTTCAATTTTACATCTTCTGATTCAATATAATTGACAAATTCTTCAGGGTCAGTTATAGGCTTTTGATGTTTTCTATGTTGTAATGTATATAATATAGATGTAAGACTTTTAATTTTATCATTAAAAAAATTAGCAAAGTTTTCATTTTCTAAATGGAAAAAAAAAATTAGAAAAAGTAATAAATAAATATAAATAATTTGACAATAATTTATTATTATATAACTTAATGCTTGTTCTAATTTAGCTTCTAATTTATTTGTATACTCTTGTAACTCATCTAAATTTTTTGATGTTTCAATTAAGGTCTTGTTTAAAGTTTCATATTTTTCCATACAAATATGTTTTGGATGCTTTCCACCTTGATGATAACTTTTATTCTTTTGTTTTTGATCTATTTTAGGCTTACCACGTTCATATAGAATTAATTCATTGTAATGTTTTTGACACAATTGGTCATCAACTTGGGGTTTTATATTTAAATTTTCAATATTAGGACTTTTATTAATCTTTAAAATTGTTTGTATGGTAATTCTTCTGTATCGTATGTCAGGATCTTGATTACCACATACTATGCAGGGACCAAAATTTTTCTGTATATTACCATTATTCATTTTATTAAATGTATATGTAAGAAAGTTAGTTTTTGATAAACGCGTTCAAAGAAAATTAAAATGTAGATCATTGATAAATTTGGATGTTATGAATGTAATAAAGCGAAATTTAGAGCAAATGGCACTACTAATAAAAGTCAAAACTCAGCGTGGATCAGGAAAAGTTATTAATGGATCAGAAATGAACAATAGTAATATAACATTTGTGCAAAGTTTGAGGTGGTGTTATTTAATATAGGGCGTGCCACTTTTCTAAGTGGCACTTTTTCGATTTTACAATACTCTTCACATATGAATTGTCGATCGTCTCTATTAAATGCGTGTGACCAATCTATCCAATGATAGGATTTTTATCTATGCTATTTATAGAACAGGTGGGACCGTTCTGGGAACACAAAAATTAACAGGAGGGAACACAAAATTTTAACCCATGCCATTCGTTGATT